TTTGCCAGCTTTCCTTTATATTCTCCACCTTCACAGATGATCCCAACGTTACATCCCCAGTTTCCCTCAAGGTATCTGCTAGGGTGCCTACATTACCAGCAGCATTTTTGATTGCTGCTATAATCAAGGGTTTCAGTGAGGCAGGCACCCCTCTCAAAAGCTGCACTGTGATATTTCTCGTTATTGCTGCCCTGTCCAGATTGGATCCTGTAATCAACGCATGACCCATTGCTGTTATCAAAATGTTCCCAGGCACAGCAGAGTAAGGTGATGAGCAGCACAGCACTACAGCAAACAGCAACTAACGAGCACTAAACTCTAATAGTCAGGCAAGCAAGCCCATGTGTGAGGAACTGGACTTTTTTAATTGACTTAAAACATTGCTACTGTAACAAGCTGTCCAAAGAAGCCACTGCCAGGGGATTGAAGATAAGGCTGAGGGGAGGAGGCCACAGCCCACAAACTGTTAACTTTGTGAAGGCTGGATGGGGAGGAGGGAGGACTCTTTGGGTGTGTAATGCCTATCTAAAAGAGACCAGTGGCACTCTCTTGGTGTGTAATGTTTATCTCCTATGGGCCAGGGTTAGGGTTAGGGTGGGTGCACACATCCACCACTACCCTGGAGAAGGCCTCAGCTCTTAGCAGGGGTGCCTCCAAAGCACCCCCCACCAAAGCCTAGAATGACTTTGCAAAAACCATCACCTCCAACCTCTGCAAAAACAGCCCCCCACTCACACACGGGGAGGCACCAGGAAGGTTTCTGAGGGTATATAAACCCATCGAACTTTATGTTTTGTGGGCTTCTCTCCCACCACTCCCTGACAGACCAAGACACCAATGACGACAACAACCAAGTTCGCCGGAGATCTTTGAGTGGTGACTATGAACCTTTTATTCTTTTTCTCTCTCTTTCTTTCTCTCTTTTCCCTTACACATTTTCTTGGGTGGCTATATTACAACCAAAATGGCTAAATAACTGTTTTCCTTTGCAATACCTTTATATTGCCATGTTATTATAGATAATAACAACCACAATGGCTACATACCTGTTTTCTTTTGCAACCAAATTGTTCTAAAATAAACCATATATATATATATATCTGTAAACACTGATCATCTAGTATCAATTTAATTCACTCCAAGGGATTTAATAATAAAACAAAAGTTACTCCTGCCTGGCAGGGTGGGTTGTAACACCATGGCAAACAGGAGCCTGCCCAATAACTAAACAGCACTAACACCTATAAATTCAATCTAGCACATTCCAATCAAATCTGTCGTTATCTCAAACCCTTTTAGCTCCATGTTGGGCACCAGAAAGGGCTGTTGTGGTTTAACCTCAGCTGGCAACACAGAGTCACTCGCTCATCCCCTCCCCCCCATTTGTTAGCAATACATACTATCAACTGTTCTACAGTATCTTGCAGTCCATGGCACCACTCTGCTTGAGTAGTAATTACTTCTTGCACGATCACCTTTGCATCTTGTGAAGTCCCAGCTTCCTTTTCCAATTCTCTCATCTTACTCAGTAGTGCAAGAACTTCATGGTCGAGAGCTCTAAGACCAGTAGCTAACAGCCATCCCCATCTCCCCACTAGCTTTTGAGAAGACTTTGATGACACTTTCCATGGGAATCCACACACAGTGATCTCAATCGTCTGGGGGGGTAACCACTGCCCCATCATCTATTTCAGGCCATGCTTCTGGTGGAGCCCATATAGCCAGGAAAGTGTCCATGGGGGGCCAGGTCCAGCACTCAGAACTGGGCCATCCTGGAATGCAGGGAGTCACCATCATGGCTGTCCCAGTCCCTGACTTTTTTGCCAGCCATGACATGCTTGTTCCTGGATCCTGATGACTATGCCAAATGTGTGAGCCAGCACAGACAGGACACAGGAACAACCACAAACTCATGGATGAAATAAAAGAGTGAATTTATTTTTGTTACCCCACAGACTGGGGGATCCCTGAAGCAGCACCCAAGCAGAGGCACACAAGCAGGGATGTAGGCACTGCAGAGCTCAGTCCATGCTAGAGGATCACCAAACCTGCTGTTTTCACCTGCATATCAGGGATTTGTGCAGGCATAGTTTACCACTGTGCTTTGATCTTTCCCACAGCAGGGCAGGAATTTCAAGCATGCTTGATAGGGTGTCTTTAAGTCTATCACAGGCCTATGTTTTCTAAACACAGATGTTCTACCTGTCAAGCACACAAGGATAAACAAGGATTAGTATGATCTATGTGTTTTTCTACACCCCAGCTGCAAGTCACTTGAGTGTGTTTACAATCCTCCTCACTAATCATCTGTTATTTTCCCATAGCAGGCACCTAGCTAGACCTGGGACCTTTGTCCCCGCTAGGACCAGCCTCTTACATGGAGATGAATGGAAGTACATGATATCCAGTCTGTGGGTGCAGTAATGATAAAAGTCCACTCTCACAAAGGAAAGTTGGACCCTAATAATACTGTGTTATTAACTTCTTACTTTGCTGTAAAGGTTGCAGAAATGGATAACTGGATTCACCACTCTCATGTTAAATGAATGACCAAAGAACATCAGTCAGATGGACCACTGTCAACCCCACGGGACTCTGTCAATCCTACCTTGGAGATTGAACTGGGACCAGTCCTTCAGCTTACAAAGGCCAAAGGAATCCCAGAACCATGTCAGTTTTGTTTTCTTTCTAGAGCCACCTGGACCAGGGGGTCACCCACTGCTTGGCATTGAACCATCAGAGACTATAAATCAAGGACAGTGTGATATTTGGTGTATTCATAATGCTTATAAGTGGCAATCACTCCAACCTCAGTTCTAAGAGGGGAAGGTTTGAGATGGCATCAACATGGTTGGCTTTGGTTATCCTGCAATAACCATGGCCCATGTCATCCTGAGCAGTGTTATAAAGTTTGTTGGGAAAACCATCATCAAGGTTAGGGTTGGGGAAATATAACCAGAAAACGCAGGTGGCACCAACTGCCCAGTGAAGAAGAATTAGATGTGAGACTTAATGTTTAATTTTAGATTATCTTCTATACTTTCTTAAGATAGCAGTAGAGTGGCTTACCCTAGTTCTGGTATTGACCCTTCTTTGTGTTTTCTTCCTTTTTCTTTTATACATTTGATTGAAAACAGCAGGCAAACCATCACCAAAATGGACTCAACCATGCATCGACAACCCCATTCTATGAGAGTTATTCTCAAAACAGTACAATACCTTTCTTTACTGCTTTTACTAATACCCCCCTGCTCATAGTTATAAGGAATGCAATTCCTTTATGTTGTTGGCCCATCATGTGGTCAACCTAACTACCTACAAAGAAGCCCAGAGTGCATACAACCTCCCTGAAAGTAGTTACAAAACTTGCTCTCTGGATGGGGATTATCATCATTTAGTTCATTGCTAAAAAATCTTTTACCTGTGGTTATTATGCCTGCTGTGTTTTTACTTGTATTTGGGATTGTTTGCAGAATATGCTTATGAAATCTATACAAGGGTATCAAAGAGTCCTTATACAAGACCAACTATAGATGGGTAGGAATGCCCAAAAAAAACCAAAGGTAGGATGTTATAGAAGGAGTTTGATTAACTGTATTCTTCTCTCTTAATAGTCTCATTTAGCATTAGCAGCTTAGCACTAGTAACTAAAGTAATTGAAACTTTAGGCTGCAAGAGCTGACCAAGAATAAAATTTTTTATAAAACTAGTGCTGCTAGCACAGAACTAGCTGAATCTGGCAGATGTGAGCAAAATGAAGAAGATAAGGACCAAGGAAATCATTCCCAGAGAATGAGATAACTTCAGAAGAAGGCCAGCCCAGCAACAGTGAAAACCAATAAGAAATCAAGAGACTACCGACCAGAGTTAAGTGATTGGACTTGAGAATCGGGTGCTGGGTGGTACAGGTATAATCTTGGGTAGGGGTCCCTCCTCAGAGGCACCCAACTTGAGCTGTAACCTGAAAACTAATAAAAGAGGAATTGGAAACCTACATTAATCAGCGGGATCCTAGAGCCACCCTGTTATTGTGGCTGGCATGTGTAAATCCATAACAGAAACAGAGAGGATTTCCTGAAATGTTTCCTGGGTTGCTTTGCTGTCTTCAACAGAAAGGTCTCATGCTTTGGACCACACTTACTTGAATGCCAAGAGCTACGTTAGGGCTACTAGCAATGTTACATACTTGAGATGCTCCTCTGGGGCCTGGTCAACTCACTGCCCTGGAGAAGCAGATCAAAGCTATTGTCAGAGGAATATTATCAGAACCCTGCCCATAACCTGTGCCCTGAGGCAGCTTGGAGGTTTTTCTTCTTCCTGCCCAGACTCAAGCCTGGTATAGCCAGCTTTCTCCCAGAGAGGGTCTGCTTTCTTAGAACAGAGGTGCTGGAGAGATGGAGTTTTGCTTCATCCCAGGAAGCAGTGTGTCCGTACCTAGCAGTCCAGAGGCCAAATACACAAGCCTGTCAGGGGAGAGGGGAGTGGAACCGGGAGCTGTATGTTTTCTGAGCATAGCCCAGGCATGGCTAGTGCTGCTCACAGGGATAATCCCATGGCACTTGGGCCAGCCTCTCCTGTTCAGTGCTCCAGCCATACTGACACACTGTAGGGGTGTGAGCTTTGCCAGGATCTGCCAAACCTGATGGTCCCAGTCCTGACCAAGGCTCCCTCCCTCTGAGGGTGCAGACCTGTCTGCAAGGAAAACCCCAATCTATGTCCAGAGGCGTGGCTGGCTGTAGCACAGGGTTGATGCCATCTGCCTTGGCTGCCAGCCCTGGGGTTAATTAGAGCCTGTGACACAGCTGGGATGGTCTCCTCCCCATTATGCCACCTTTCCTCATGCTCACCTCTCTCATCTGGCTTCTATGCTTCTTTTGCAACACTCCGCAATCTACAGCAGTACTGGGGACTGTGGGAACAAGTTGAGCCAGCAGCACCTGCGTTCAGTTAATTAGGATCAAAAAAGAGTGTTTTGGCCTTGACTGGTATTTTTGATAAAGAGAGTGCTGTGTTTTCAAAGTGAACACCGCTTAACAGTCTGCATGATAACGTATTTTTCTCTCATGGCTGAACACAGCCACCACATGATGCGAGGTGAACGTGTGGGATCAGGGTTTAGGACGATCCTGGGAATTCTGGTTAACTAAAGGCAAACACCAGGTGCTGTTTACAAAGGAACACTAATAAAAGGGGAAGACCGGAAATCAAACTCTGTGTGGTGGCAGCCTCGTTTCTTTTGGCACCCATATTTGCCATAGGTACCTGCTCCTCCCCAGACGAAGGGGGTTGAATTCCCCTTTGTGTCTTGCAGGTGACCCAGCTGCTGTCTCCTACCTGGTACAAGCCCTGTGGAAACTGAACTGAAAGCAGGAGATGGCTGTTCACTGTCAGAAGTTCTCCCAGAGCCCTGCAGGGAAGGATGGGGCAGGGAAGCTGTGTAGAGGGATGGGTGGAATTTCAGCTGCCACACAGGAGAGCTCCAGCAGCATAGCCCATTGTTGTGGTTTAAGCCCAGTTGGCAACTTAGCACCACACAGCCGCTTGCTCATTCCCCCACACACACCTTACCCCAGTGGAATGGGGAGGAGAATCAAAGCGAAAACTTGTATGTTGAGATAAGAACAGTTTAATAACTGAAACAAAGTAAAATATAATAATAGTAACTTTAAAAAGAAATATAAAACCCAAGAAAAACAAGTGATGCACAATACAATTGCTCACCACCCACTGACCAATGCCAAACCCTGTCCCCAGACCTCTGGAAGCCTGGCTCGAAGTGAGGTCTGTGACGGAAGCTGTTCTGCGTACACCACCATGGGGCTCAGCATATAAGTCTGCTGGCAGGCAAAGTGGGCTAGTTTCTGCTGACTGGACTTAAAGCCCTTGACCAGGAGAGTGTGGCTTTGCAGGACCAAGTGGCAGCTCTGGAAGAGTAGATCAGCAATCTGAAATGTGCACGGAGCTTGGAGCAGGCTGTGTTGGCTGCTCATGAACAGCATGGTCAGGAGCTGCAACGAGTCCTGGAGCGCTTGGTGTCCTTGCCTCTCTGGCGTGTGGCCGATGGAACAGGGTGCAGGTACTCTTTCTGCTTCTTCGGTTTTTGCCCCTGTCCTGAATTTCTTTGGAAGTCCTGGGAAGCAGGATGGATATGATTTGACAGTCTTTGGTCTCCGAAGTATTCAACCCAGGCCAGCGGACACTGGCTTGATGTGGGCCCTGCTCTGGCTGCGGTGTGTTTTGCCCGGTGGGGAGGTGCAGTTTGCTGGGTCGTATTCCCCAGGGACATTGAAACAGTTCTTATACGCTTGTTGGCGGGGGTCTGGGGACTGCTTGCTGGCCGAGTTTCGGTGGGCGGGGGATGGGGCCATTGCGTTTAAAAAGTTTTGATGCTGGAGGTGGCCTGTGGGGAGGCATAGCCCCCCCTTGCCTCCCTCCCTCCTTCCCCCGCAGCTGCTTGGAGCTGCGTCTCCTGGCGGAGGCCGAGACAGAGGAACTGGCTCTGCTGAGCTGCGGCTGAGGCCCCGTGCCACGGGGGGTGGCCCCGCCCCCCCTCGCCAGGTTTGTGTTGTTCTGGCATTAAGAGGTGCCCTTTTTTGGGGTTTCTGGTGCGTATTGCTCCCCCTCCAGGACTTTGTTTCGAGTGCCGCTATGGTGCGGATCATTATCTGTGCATCGTGCATTCCAGAGGGAAGGGGGGCCGACAGCAGCCTCCGGTGGCTCCAGGGACTGCAAGGAGATAAGGACATCCTGGCTGTTTCGACTGGCTCTATTTGGACTGTTCAAAACTTGTATTGTTCTGGGGAGATGTTCGTTTCGTTCCTGGAAGCATTGTTGAGTCCCCTGCAGGGACCGACCAGGATGAGAGCTGTTTGGCAGTGGGCCAAACAACGTCAAGGAGCTTTGTAGGTTTGCAGACCTGTTCATTTCGTCTGCACGATTGTACTTGATTGTATTTGAAGGGATTACATAACCCTTGGAGGATATTAAGAGGGGGTCAGTAGGTTTACTGCTTGGCAGATGCCTGCATTGACACCACCACCACCACCACCCTGCCCCTGTCAAGGGGGTGGTGGCCCATGTACCTCGAGCTGTGGATATGGAGTTGGGAATACTTCTGCTGCATTCTCTGCTAACATCAGCTTCTCGAGTTGCTGTGTTTCATGTGTTTTCTACACCCCCCAATGCCTTCTCCCGAAGGGGAGTCCATGGACCTGTGTTTTTTGATTTCATGCTCACGCTTTGATGGGCATCCTGCTCGGCTAGAGTGGTTTGTGCCTCATTGGTCTGGGTGGGCGGTCACCCCATCCCTGGGCTATCAAATTCAGATATATCCTTGTAGAATTACCATGTGTGTACTTGAGTGTAATATTTCCTCTGTGTTCTTTCTTTTTCCACATGGTAGGTACAGAGCACACGCAGTGTGTTTGCACCTGAGAACTTGCCCAGTCCAGTTGCTGCTATGCTGCACTCTGTCTCCAGTCTGCGCAGGCTGTTTGAGCCTGATGGCCTGTGCTGCTTATACATAACTGTCGACCCAGCTGCATCAAGGGGGCCTTGACAACGGTGGGACTCCATATGATAACTATGGCACCTTGTCAGTGATGCCCTGTTGGCTGAATGGTTTAATATCACAACAGACAGACTGGGACATTTACCTCTGGCATTATATGTTTGTCCCTTTCGTGTATGCTGCGCATGTGCCTTTATACACTGTCACCTTATGTATTTTTGGTTCTGGTGGGGAAAGCCTTCCTTAGCAAAGGGGGTGGAATGCAGGAGTAAATACCCTTTTCTAGAAGGTTTTGCTACTGAGGAGTCTGGTATTTCGCTTAGGAAAGGCTTCGCTGCCACTTTCTCAAAACAGTGCTATTCTCTCCTCCCTCGCATTTCAGAAGCTTGCTCTCTGATATGTGAGGAGAGAGCAGATGCCACAGGCCTTTGAATCCAGCAAGGAGAGAGGGGGGAGCAGAGATAATAAAACTCGAAGAAGAAACAGGAGGCATGTCTTTCTCAGGCCCAGTGCTGCTTTGCAGCCTGGTTCAGGGTCTCCTTTGAAAGTTTTTAGTGTTCTCATATTCAGAATAAACCTTTTTGGATTCTTTCCACTGCCTTGGCATTTTTGGGGGTACCTGCATGTATCTTACCACACATTTATATTTCAGCCATTGTCCTCCATATCACAGAGGCTTTACCCACTTGGCCTCCTTAATTGCAGCACATTTTACATTCATGGATAACCTGTGCAATAGTGTCCATGGTTAAGTCCAACCCTCGATCACGAGCCCATTTGTATGTTCCATCTCTTCCTTGATGTCCCGAGGTGTCATGGGCCCACTGAGTTAGAAATAATTCACCTTTATGCTTCCTGTCCAGATCCACCTGAGCCACTTCAGTCCTAGCAGCCTGATCCATCTGCTGGTTGTTCTGATGTTCTTCAGTGGCCCGACTCTTGGGAACATGAGTATCTACAGGATGTACCTTCACAACCAGGTTCTCCACCTGGGCAGCAATATCTTGCCACAATGCAACAGCCCAGATGGGTTTCCCTCTGCACTGCCAGTTATTCTGCTTCCATTGCTGCAACCACCCCCACAGGGCATTTCCCACCATCCACGAGTCAGTGTAGAGATAAAGTACTGGCCATTTCTCTCATTCAGCAATGTCTAAGGCCAACTGGATGGCTTTCACCTCTGCAAACTGACTCAATTCACCTTCTCCTTCAGCAGTTTCTGTGACTTGTCATAGGAATGTCCATACACCTTCCATCTCTGATGCTTTCCCACAAGACGCCAGGATCCATCAGTAAACAAGGCATATTGCTTCTCACTTTCTGGTAATTTATTATGCAGTGGGGCCTCTTCAGCAAGTATTACCTCCTCCTCTGGTGACATTCCAAAATTTTTCCCTTCTAGCCAGTCCATGATCACTTCCAAGATTCCTGGATGACTGGGATTCCCTATTCAAGTCTGTTGTGTGATCAGTGTGACCCACTTACTCCATGTAGCATCTGATGCATGATGTGTGGAGGAGACCCTCCCTTTGAACATCCAACCCAACACAAGTAACCGGGGTGCCAGGAGGAGCTGTGCTTCGTTACCAGTCACCTCCAAAGCAGCTAGAACCCCTTCATAAGCTGCCAGTATCTCCTTTTCAGTTGGAGTATAGCAGGCTTCAGATCCTCTGTATCCCTGACTCCAAAACCATAGGGGTTGACCTCAAGTCTACCCTGGTGCTTTCTGCCAGAGGCTCCAGCCAGGGCCATTCTCCCTGGCTGAGGTGTAGAGCACATTTTTTACATCTTGCCCTGTCCAGACCGGCCCGAGGGCTACTGCATGAACTATCTCCTGTTTGATTTGTTCAAAGGCTTGCCATTGCTCAGGGCCCTATTGGAAATCATTCTTCTTCTGGGTCACTTGATGGAGAAGGCTGACAATCAGGCTGTAATTTGGAATGTGCATTCTCCAAAATCCCACAACACCTAAAAAAAGCTTGTGTCTCTTTCTTGTCAGTTGGTGGAGACATTGCTGTTATCTTGTTAATCACATTCACTGGGATCTGCCATTTTACTCCTAAAAACTGGATCTCCTGTGCAAGTCCCTTTGCTTTGTTTTATGGAAAAACCAGCTTTCAGAATGATTTGGATTATTTTCTTCCCTTTCTCAAAAACTTCTGCTCTCTTGCCCCACACAATGATATCATCAATATATTGCAGGTGTTCTCAAGCCCCCTCCTGTTCCAGTGCAGTCTGGATCAGTCCATGGCAGATGGTAGGGCTGTGTTTCCACCCCTGGGGCAGTCGATTCCAGGTGTACTGGACACTCCTCCAGGTGAAAGCAAACTGTGGCCTGCACTCTGCTGCCAAAGGGATCAAGAAAAATGCATTAGTGATATCCGTTGTGGCACCACTCTACTGCCTTTGACTCAAGCTCATATTGAAGTTCCAGCATGTCCGGCACAGCAGCACTCAGAAGCAGCATGACTTTATTCAGGCCAAAATAGTCTAATTGTCGA